TTTCTTTCCTGTTCCTTCCATCTCTCTATAGTACCTCTGATTCATATTCCATCTGATCTAATTCTTTAGTTCTCTTTCTGATAATCTCCCTTTCAATACCTTGGATTTATTTATTTATTTATTTATTTATTTATTTATTTATTTATTTATTTTGCTTAGCCAGAATGAGCTTTCTGTTCCTTATCAACAGAGGATCATAATGAATTAATCCAGTTATATAAATATACTACCTTCAAATGCAAATAGCTTACAGGAATATAAAATACGGCTTACCTTTGGTTACTATGGGTAATTATATATAAAATTTCAATGGTTAAACAATCCCAAACCTAAAATCCAACAAGAAATGACTGTGTCACTTACACTTTTTTCTGTCCATCCATTCCTCTAGCTCTGGAAAGTTTATGATTTGTCTTGTCCTCCGGAGACCAAGTCGACACCTTACACGGTGGATTAATCCCCGATACATGTTAATAACTTCTTTCAAATTTGGCCCATGATACAAAGCCTATAACACAATAATACAAACAGTGTGGCTATTTATACTTAATTTGATCTACCCTTTTTGTCTAATCTATTTCACCCAATTTCTTAGACTATGGCTGTGTTGACTGGTGATTCCTGTGCTGGTTGAACAGATGCACTCTGGACTGAGATGAGCTCCCTGAAGATCAGAGCTCCACCCTGAGTCCTTGCCCTCAGACAGTCCTACTTCCTACAGAACAGAGGTTGCAATGACATCTACTTCCATAGATGCTTCCTATGTTGCTGTCCATATTTCTATAATATGTGGCACATTCAACTAGAAAGATAAATAAAAGTTTTATTAAGGGGCTATGTCTGTGGCTCAGTGGTAGAGCATTTGCTTGGCACGTGTGGGGCACTGGGTTTGATTCTCAGCACCACATAAAATGAATAAATAAAATAAAGGTATATAAAAAACTTTTATTAAGGAATTATTCTACAGTGGATAATTATTTCCTGAGCTGTCAACTCTGGGTGCTCAATTCTATTTCTTTTCTTTGAAAACTATTCATTCATGTCCTTGTCTTAGTTTTGGCTGAGCTCTTACAGGTTTTCTCTGATTTCTTAAAACTTTGAATATTAAAGAAATTATAACTTTTGCTACATATATGTTAATTTTTTAGTTAGGTTACCTGTGACTACATCACTCTTCACTCTTCCATATATGCATTTTATACATTCTACTATAAGTTTTTTTAAAAAATTAAGCTTTAAAAATTCATTTCAAGTTTCTTTCTTTTCTAAACAGCCAGTTCCATTTTATTTAAAATTCATTTTTTTTACATTTTATAGATCATTAATTTCTCTATTAATTCCTTCCTTTTTTAGTTTCCTATTCTTGACCTCTTGAATTACAGATTTAATTCATTTATTTTTCATTATTTCATTGTTCTAGAATGTACTGAAATTTCTAAACTTTCCTTAAGTAGCTTTCCTTTGATGTGCTTTGCATACCATCTTATAAAAGAAAAGATTGAAGTGGAAAATCTTTAAATAACTTTTCAAGGCCTCATACCTAGTTGGTTGCAATATTAGTTTCAAAACCAGAATAGAAATACTCAAGAACCTACATTTTCATCTATATCCTATATGCCTGTTAATTTAATTGAACTTTGTGTTTTTTGCCTATTTTGTGATTTTTTTGTATCTTTTTTTAGTTCATTTCTTTATACATTTGATTCTACCATGCTATTTTCTTTTTACTATTATTCATTGAAGGTTGTAGTTATCATTTTATTTTTCTTCACCTTTGCTAGATTTTCTGATTCTTCTCTGAAAATTTTAAATACTATATTCAAACCTACACTTCTTACTACATAATTATTGACAAAATAATATTTCTTGTTTGTCTAACTACAAACATTATTTAGCAAAATTTCACTATCTGCCTCTTCTTCCATCAGATTGTAGATTCTGAACATTTGCTAGTGTTTTTCAACATTTAAGTAACATTCTCCAATGTTTATGTTTAATCTACCTTTTGTTCATAGAGTTTTGTTCTTTTATAATAATAATGATGATGATAAATTAGTTGTATTTTGGGGCATCTCCCACCATATGAATCCTAATGGGAAGCAGAACCCATCTCTTACAATTATGAAGCCAAAGGCAGATGCTCATGATCCATCCCTTTACTGTTGCTCAATTTTATTTCTTTAAAATTTAAAATTTGTCCCATGATACAAACATGGGACAAAATGTCATTCATTATCTGCACCAACCCTGGACCTTGAATCAAAAGTAATAAAGCTTTCACAAGGAAAACATTGGGAAACATATTTGTGTGGCAAATGAATTGTGGCTGCAATATCCATTTTCTAAGGGCAGCATCTCTGGAGACAGTGATAACTTGGATTCAGTGTCTGCATCAGACCTCACAGGAGTTAGTGAAGTGACAGCAGTAGACACAGCCCTTTGGGTTACATGGCTTTGTTAAGTGCCCCACAGAACCTAAGCCTTCTTTGTGTTATCTGCATCTCTCACTGAACTGTGGGCTTAAGCCCAATATACAGTATTTGTTATCATCAAATTTTCAATAAAATTTTCATCAAACTTTTTATCATCAAATATACATTACTGAATAAATGAATATAATTTTCTAGGTAGCTAGAAGCCAATATATTTATGTAGTAAAACTATATAATGCTACCTATTCCACAGAGTTCCTGAATAGATTTAAGGATTTTTTTATTACATATAGGGTTATTTTTTTTGGGGGGGGGGTGGATAATGAGATGCAATCCATACTTCATCAAAATTTCAAAAGATTCTGTAACCTCCAAAATATTAAAGACATTGATGACCTATGTATAGGATATTGGTATAGTAACCATAAAGCTCAGATTTTCCAAGGTTGTTCCAATTTTATTTATTTAACAAATGTTATTCCAAGCCAATTTCAAAAATTATTTCTTACTGCAACCATCAGCCATTCAAAAATGCTAGAATTTCAGTATCTTAGGCCAACAGCAACTGGATGTAAAACATGGGATTAAAATTCAAAATTTTTAATTATAAATATTCAGAGTAAAATAGTGAACTCTTAGAGGTATCATTTTGAGGAAATTATTTTGTTTTGTGTTTTTATGATTTTTTTAAACATCATTAACACACTCAAACACATGCAAACAAAGCAGAGATTTTGAAAAGAAAAGGACAATTTGAGTTATGCTGAGTGTTAAATAGAGCTCTCTCCATACTCTTGTTGTGTATGATTGGTAAGGTAATTCAATACTGCTTCATTATTTCCAAATGAACCCAAACTGAGAGCATCTCACAAGAAATATTGGGAATCATATAGTCCCTAGAGTGACCTTAAAGTGACGTTATAGCAGACACTGTCCAAAGCAAAAATGTTTGTAGTAGCAGCCACGTAACGAGATGACGGAAGTCTCCCAGTGGAAAGATTGCCATCGTGCTAACAATTATCCAGTGATTTTCTGTGCAGCCTCTAGAGCAGAAAGCCTCTTAAGAATTCCCCCGATATCATCCCTTCACGTAGGCACAGTCCTGGAAACACCATTGATTGAATCACAGGAGTGTCCCACTAGCAATTTGACAGTAGACAAACAACTTTAACCATATCAACAAAGCAGTCATCCAATTTTATACAAAGTACCATTCCGGTGATGGAATTTTAAAAAAAAATCAGTGATCACAAACAAATTTTATAACCAAATAAAAGTCAATAATCTAGTTCATATTGGATTTGTTCCTCTAAAAGTACTTACCATTCTTTTCATCTCCAATTCTATCTCAACATAGAAATTCATTATATTCTTTGTCACTTTCTCTTTTTAATCTCATCCTGGGCCCATTCTTGCTCACTAAGTTTTCTAGAGCTATTGTTGCCCTAGAAATTATGAATGACTATAGTTCTGTCAGATACTAGGAAATGGTAGAAATTATGCTGCATACATCAAAACTATGCTGAAAGAACTTTAAAGATATATCTTGTTGAATGCCATGATAAACTTCTACAACTATAATCTGTCCATTCAATTCACCCACTCCATAGATATTTGTTGAGTGCTTCCCATACATTAATCATGATTCTATACATTTGAAAATAGTAGGAAACAGTAGCAAACAAGACAGATTGTTGTCTTCATAGAGTTTACAATGTATTTCACCAAAACAGAACGTAAACATACACAAACAAGAAGTGAAATAAGAAAAACGGCAGGTAATAAGTGCACATAGTTAAAGTGAGACACTGTATATAATACATCAAGACAGTGTATGGTGATTGATAGGAATACAAAAATAAAGGGTATGTGCTCCCCAAAATTCATGTAAAATATACTGCTCATGACAGACACGTATGAGACCATTACACTGCAGAGAACTGTGCATTATAATGACCAAGAAGAATGGAGAGATCAGCTCTGCTTGATGGATCAGAGAGAATGTCTAACTGCATATACTTACAATGATCTTGAAAAATAAATCAGGAGTTCATATGAAGACATGGGTGGAAGAGCATTCCAGGGCGAGAGATTATTACCCATATTAATATTTAGAAGTTTGCTAGAACACTGGGACTATGTGAATAAGAGCCATGTAATGAAGTCGGACAGAGGCACAAGCCATAACAAGCAGATCCTACATATTATGTTAGAAAGTTCACTCTCTCCTATAATCAGTACTGGGCTATCAAAAGATAAGGGCATAAGAAGGGAGTGTTTTAAATGCAGTGTGTAGCAGAAGATGAGATGGGAAAACATACATGGCAAGGGGTCACTGAGACTTCTGCTCTTCACCATTTAAGTTTACATGATGGAAGCTTTAGCAAGAAGCACACAAAATAAGAGAGAATAAGAAATGTGGCTGGGCTGGGGAGGAAGCTAAGTGGTCGAATGCTTGGCTACCAAGAATGAGGCCCTGGACAAGTGAGGTTCTGGGTGCGTTTCCTAGCACTGCTGGAAAAAAATAACGTTATGAAAATCATAACCAATTGGATATAGGAATACAGAAGTTGAAGGGATTGAAGAGAATTCCAGGTTTATGGCTTGGACAAGGGAGGAGAGAAGATATGAACACAGGTAGCAGAGGAAAGAAAGTGCTGTGTGGAGGAAGAAAATGAGTTCTTTGAGGTGTGTGGAATGTCACTTAATATGGATCTTTCAGGCAGGCAATTTAATACCTGGGTCTAGAGCCCGAGAGAAAGGTTCAAGGTGTGGCTTTAAATTGGTTTAGGCAGCAACTGGCCATGGCTACCTGAGTTGAAAAAGGTGATTCCATATGCAAAATAAGCACAGCCCTTGGAGTCAGACAGACATAGGTTTGAATCCTAGCTCTGTAATTTACCAGCTGCTTGACTTTGAGCAAATGACTTAATTTCTCTAAGCTTCCATTATTTCACTTATATAATAAATACAGCAGCTATCTGCATTAACATGTTCAATCACCAGAACTACATATGTCTATTATGTGTACAAACTAATACATGTGCAAATTTATACCCAGAGATAAGCAGATGAACTACTTCTAACAGTGTCACTGTGCTATTGATATAAGACAGATGAGGCTGGACACCCAAGGAATTTTCAGAAAGCAGGTTTATTTAAGCTACAGCTATTCAGACCGACTAATGCCTAAAAGTCTCTGAACCCCAAATCTTGAAATTCTTTTAGATTTCTACTCAGTGGGGTAGCTACATGACAGTGGGTACAGTACATAACAGTTACTCTTATGTCCCATATTCTTAGGCTAGACAGAGGTTTCACAAGTTGTTACCAAGAAAAACCAAAATAGTAATCTTTGCTCAGCAAGTTTTCTTGAGGCAGAGTCTATGACACCATCTCATAGTAAACCTGGCTTTTACAAGAAAGAGGAGGCTTTAAACCACAATGAGCTCGCTGCAGAAACCCTGCTGACATTCTTTGTAATGATCTTGTTGACTAGGAGAGAAATTTATGTGTTACTATTATGGCAGGGGTCTTTTTGGTAGGGGTACCCCGTGGCTACATCACTCTCAGGACAAACGTGTTCAGGAGGGGCCAAATTCACCTCTTCTCTCATTTTCTCTTTATAGTTTGTCACCAAGCTTTAGCCTTCCAGGCAAGGACATTTTGCATTCTCTCAAAGGTTTGCCAAGATGCATGCAGCCAGGCTCTTCTGCATTTACCCAGCCAAAAGAATTCCTCATAGTTTATTTTAGGAGTCAAAGCCAGGAGAGCTGTCTATAAAAGTTGTCCACATAGATACTGGGAGGGAGGGCATAGTTCTTATTAAATGTAATATTTGTGTACTGCAAAAAAAAAAAAAAAAACAGAAGTGTGGGAAGTGAAAGTTCCTCTGAAGAGAAAATAAATAGCAAAGAAGAAACAATATTAGTGCAAAGACAGTTTATACTGTTTTAAGAGTAAATGGTCTCAGAACTGTTAAGGATAAGTTGGGTCTTTTGTTCAAGAGTATCTGATTTGGCACAATCTGAAGCTGTCACCAGAACAGATTATTCATGACATTTTCCTAATCAAAAAATATGTAGACAGAACTCTACTTAGAAAAATCATAGACCTATTGACCAGATGGCTAAGGATTTTAGAACACAGTATAAAATCTCATGCATGTCTTACCTTGGACATTAGTCTTTGAAACCTCTTGCGTTCAAGCCACCCCCTGACATGAGCCTGCATGAGGGTGACCATGTCAATGATGTTTTTGGTAATGAAGAGTTTGCTTTTCACTTGGAATACCTGGAAGATTTCTATGTGTGGTCCAATTCTTTTAACTTTATTTTCCAATTTATCATCTTTTTTAACAACTTTTACCCTAAAAATAAAATATGAAACTTTTTTAGAAATAACAAGAAAAATAAACCCTTCTACCGTCTTAAATTCTATCAATGACAAATGCATTGGAATAGGAAATGGATTAAAATTTGCACATAGATTTCAACACATGATATCACTTGCATATATCAATAAAGTTCTCAAAGAAGGTTGAATATCCTAGAGTTGATATCCCATGGATAAAGTTAACCTTCTGAAGAAAAGAAATCCAAAAAAAAAAAGTGAATCTGTCCAAGTTGATTCACGACTCTGCAAAAGAGAATACCTTGATAGGGTAGATTAATCCACATAATTTCCCCATCCCTGCAAATTGACCTATGGATCTTTATTTTAAACTAAAAACTACTTTAAAATTATTAATTACTTGGCACTAATACTCTGCTATCCAAATATTATCTGAAAAGTAGTTTGATCCAAACGTTCTCCACTGAAAGGGACTATCATGTGGTGGTGGTAGTGACAAAGGGATCATGGCTTGTGGGATTAGCACAGGGAAGAATCATACTAGAAACCATGAGCCCTACAGTACTGATTTGGACAACCCTTGGAGTCAAGATAAATGTGAGAAAACTGAGGACTGTCTACCATGAACAAACCAACTGTAACCTTGTAACTTTGCTTCTAATTTTTTCCCTTTGTATACCTATTTTTCATATGGTGGTCAGTCTTCCTAAATCCAAAGACTCATTCCCTCGTAATTCTTAGCATGTAAAGGTGCATCCTGGTTCTGTATGTCTCTGATAGCTAGAGTTCCACAGAGATCCATAGGTCAATTTGCCCACTAGAGCTGGGTGTTAACCCAGAAGTATACCTCCAAACATACACCTCCAAATTGCAGGCCCAATTCTACTAAATCCCAGAGTACAGAGTAAATCTTTAACTCAAGTCAACTCACTTTTGCATTATTTTCCCTCCTATTTTATTGTGATTTCTGCATTAATCGGGTTCTTGAACAAGTCTTATTTTGCTTTGTTTTTTATGCAGCTATTATTTTTCTTTCCTTGTAACAAAAATGTTGGGAGTCTGATTTTGATCGTTTAACCCAGATATCACAAATCTTTGCTAGGTAGTAGAGAGCAGAGAATCTTAGTTGTCTGTTTTCCTTTATCTTTACTGTAGTTTGTCTTGAAGCTTGTGGTATCTTCTGATATGCTCTGTATTATGTCATCTGAATAACAGTGTAGTACCATTCTTGAACACCAGTTTTAATATCATTCAGCAATAATTTTGTAGAAAAGTAGAATGTAAATCATCTCCAGATCAATAAATGTTCAAAAGTAGTATTCACTGGAGATTCTTTTTGATTTCCTGACCTTCCTTATCCTAAGCAGCCACAGCCAACCAGTGAGATTTGCTGAGACACAAATCATGTTCAGTAAAGAGGTAGAAGTGAGGCTGCTAGTTATCTTTGTGTCTCTGTGTGTAAATGAAATTAAGTCTTTCCCCTTCTTGCAAAAGGAAGTTAGCCCTGTGAAAGTGTTTTCCTATTTGTGGTTCTTTTGTCTCCGTGGTTGGTTCTTTGCCTCATGTTGTCTTGAGAAAACTTTTGGAGATGCATAAATCAAAAATATATCATCTCGTACATTGGAAGGAAAGACAGCTGCCTCAATAAAATAGAAAAAAAGGCTACCAGAATAAGTGAAGAAAAATGCTACAGTTTGAGTATGTCCTCCAGAAATTTTGTGTGCTAAATATTTAATCCTGAGATGATATGTTGATGGTATTTGCAGGGGAGATCTATGGGAAATGGTTAGGATTAGGTAAAGGCATGAGTGTGGAATCCCTATCCCCACACCCTCTATAGCATGAGTAGCTTTATAATAACAGGAAGAGAAATGAAATGCATCATGCTTGCTCTGTCTTGCCATTTGATGTACTCTGCCATATTTTGATGCAATTAATAGGCCCCTACCAGATGATAGCACCACACGATAGACTTCCCAGCACCCAGAACTGTATGAAATAAATGTATTTTATTTACAAAGACATATGTCCCACATGTGGTATTTGAGTATCACAATAGAAAGTGACAAAAAGTGATGGCTGTGTTTTATCTGTTTTTTTTTTCTTCTTTTTTAAACAACAGGACTAAGACCAAAAGGAAGCAAAGTTTGATGTCTATTTAAGACTGATTTTTAAATTTGTTCTAATTAGTTATACATGATGGCAGATTACTTTTCCCAAATAGAGCACAACTTTTCATTTCTCTGGTTGGACTAAGGAGAGCTTTGCTTGGTTAATATAATAGTTTTTCTAAATAGGGCTCAATGTGTGAGGTAAAGTAGGAATGCACATGGAAATGATTGCTTCTGGCTTGTCCAATACTGGAAGACCTAACTATGAAATCTAAGAGAGTCTGAGTTGACAATTTTTCTCCTTTCTTTCAGAAGAAATTAGGGTTTTTTTTGTGAAAATATTAAAATGAATCAGGACAGGAAAAAAAATGAGGGGAAGTTTCATGTTCTCACAAATAGATGTCAATAACTCTTGAAGAGCTTGGTGTGATGCTGGGGTGCGACATAATGTATAACGTTGAAGCATCAGCTCCAGGAAACTTGGGCTCTGCTGGTCTCCTGAGCTGCCACAGTTGGCACCAAGTTCTTAATCACCTGCTCGGGAGTGTGTGTGTTTATGAGAAAAACAAAAGGGGATACAGAGAATGAAATTAGTCATTTTGGTTAAAATTGTAGTTGATATGAGTGATTGGAACTCTGTTATGCAAAAGAATTATGAAGAAATGCAAATGTTTACAAAATCATAGATGTGTCTTGTCTACTTTTTAACACTTGAAAGAATTTTTATCTTAGGCCCTAAACATACAGACTTTGATCAATAGCACATCTCTAGATGTTAAACAAAAGACAAGTTTGAGGCTGTATAGAACTTAGAGAAGGCTTGCTGAAAAAGTGAGTTGTATTTACAAATAATGGGTCAGAAAAGAAGCTGTGAAACATATTAAATGTTGACAAATGTGAATTTTACTAACTTAAGCATAAAATAGAGAAACGATTGTGAATACTTAATATAGGTAGGATACCAAGAAAAAAGCAAAATTAGAATTTTAAATCCTTACTATTATACTGACAGTGATTTTTAAAATATCTTTCTTCTTAAATATATGTGACTGTAGACAAACTGATTTTTTTTTTTAAGACATAGTCTGCTCTTAATTGGATAAAGGAAAAGTTATTCTGTGTTTTCAACATATTTTGACTTAGATAACAAAAAGCTCCTTATATTAATAAAAATATTCCTTTTATCAGTGCTTGTGAAGTTTTTCTTCTCCATTTTTGTGATTGATTTCTCACAAAACATGGTGTTTTCATATTTAATGTTCCTTGCACCTCTGTGACTTTGTTTTACCCTGAAGGTACCTACGACTCCACTCCTATTTGGTTCCCTCTGACAGTTCTTTCCAACATATTTCCCACCAAATCAAGTCCCAGATTGAAAATAAAACTGCTACAATATCTTTTTAACCTTCCTTTTGGGTGTCCCAGCTGATTCCAGGAACATACCAAAGATTCTCTTCTTAGTTATATAAAAGGAGAGACGTGAGAAATAGCAAGGTGCGTTTTACATGCTTGTTACACAAATATTATATGCATCATTTCATAGGAAGCCAAAGGTAAATCCCGTATATTGACATCTATATTGCTTACTTCTTCATATTTGGTCCTAACCAGGAGTTCCAAAACCTGCTAGCTTTTAACTTAAAATTCTCAGACATTCAGTTTTTCAAAACATGGTCCAAATAAGCACATAGTTTTAATATTTTAGCCATCAATCAGACAACCCTAGGGGCTATAAAAGACCTCAAGCCACCACAGTCCTACAGAGCTCTCTGACCCAGAGACCTCCACACCCAACCTGTTGCTGAGTGATATCAGCTATGCTCCTAGGACCCCTCTCTGGTTCCCCTCTCCCATGGAGTTCCCCAACCTTTCCCATTCTGGGTAGTGGCTCCACATCACTGTTTCTGGAAGGCCTCTGCTATTAGAGACTTCTCTCATGCAAACCAGCCCACGTGTTGCCCAAATAAAGCTTGTGTTGTGTGCTACCGCTACTTTGTGGTCATGTCTTTTCTTTGATCAGCTCCAAGATCCTTGAACTTACTCCAATGGTCCATATTTTAATCTAAATCAACACTATACTGTTGATGTCTTATTTATCAAAGTCCAAAACATGAAAAGAATTGACTAATCAAAGAAAATGTCTGCCCCCTATGTTAAATACATAACAACTAACACATTATTAATATAAGGACATTAGAAATAGGCTATTGTAATTGATGGCACTGATGGCAAATTAATACCTCCAATGTGACCTTGCAGGTCTTCCCATCAAGAGATGAGGTTTATTTACCCACTGTGTTAGCTTCCCCTTGTTGTGACAAAACACCTAAGATAAACAACTTGAAAGGAAGAAGGTTTATTTTGGCTTATGGTTTCAGAGGTTTCAGTCCCTGAGCACTAGGCCTCAATTGTTTTGGGGCCTGTGCTAATGCAGTACACCATGGTGGAGGAAAGCAATTATTCTCATGGCAGAAGGGAAGCAAAGAGAAAGAGAGAGGAAGGGGCCAGGGTTCTAATAGCTCCTTCAAGAGCATGCCCCACAAAGACCTAACTTCCTCCATTAGTTCCCACCTCCTAACAGTTCCACTGGTGGCCAAGCCTAAAGCATATGAGCCTTTGGGGAAGATATTTAAGATCCAAACCATAATACCCACACTATGAATCTGTGCTGATCTGTGAATTGTCTTGGCCAATAAAATCCAATGGAAATAACAGTGTGCCAGTTCTGAGCATGTGTCTCAAGTGCCCTGGTTCCATTTTTTAAAAGAATTTTATTTTCGCAATACCTTTATTCCATTTATTTATTTTTATGGAGTGCTGAGGATCAAACCCAGGACCTTACATGTGCTAGGCAAGCACTCTACCACTGAGCTAGAGCCCCAGCCCACATAGATCCATTTTTAGA